ATAAATGGGAGGGGATTCTCGGCTGTCAAAAGTTAAACGAGCCACATTGCTAGGGTTTGTCTCCGCCCACGGGCAGGAAGAAGTAAGTGTTACCTGAGGATTGGGAGATCCTGGAGTTCCAGCTGTTCTAGAATGTCAGTGCCACATGTCTGGAAATTTTGTTGAAAATATGGTATGGGGCAGAATGACGGTACCCCCTACAAGAAAATTTAGGGAAGATTTTTTTTTCAAGAGTGACAGGAACAGTATGATATGGGAAAGACGAGAGAGCTCATGAGCCTGGGTAGCATTCTGTACGGTAATGTGCGGAGTACCGCTCTTAAGGCATGAAAAGAAAAATCTTTTCCAACATGGCGTAGGAGTGCCTTTCCAAAACTATGGTCCGAAAGATAGGCAGTAGAGGAAGTTGGTCGTAAAGTGAAGAATTTAGTCCATTGTTCAGTTGAAACTGAGCGTGGAAAGGTAGTAAAAAGGGTGTGTCGACGTTTCTGAGAAGAACGGAAGGTGGAGAAGTTCATTGCAGGTAATTTTCGTTGGCGTTAGGCGTGGGACCAGAGTTGGTCCAACGTGGAATGGGTCGGCGATTTGAAATTGCCGCACCGTTTGAGGGAGAGGCCGGAAGCTAGTCAGAGGAGAGCGAAGGTCCGATAAATCGAAGGAGTCAGTCGAGGCCTCAGTACCTGAAGGGGTGAGGAAACAGCACGGCAATAGGTTTACAGAGGCATGAGGAATGTCTGAAGAGTGGTCCAAAAGACGAGGCGGAGGTCGGAAGGGGTGCGGTTATCAAGAGGGGGCCGGGGGCTCAAGGTTCATGGACTAGGGTGCCATGGTTAGGTTACTTCTTTCTTTTTGTTTTTAGAGAACAAAAAGCAAAGAAGAAAGCAAATAAAAATAAAAAAAGAATAAAAAAAGGGGGGACCGGGGAGGGATAGTTCCTAGAGGAATCGAAAGGGCCAGAAATTCTCCTCGCGCCAGAGGACCTCAGCACCGCAAGTAGCGCAGATGCAGATGAAACCCGTGCCATACCCTACCATCATGCTAGTAAACTAACAATCCGGGCTAGCAACTCCCATCTGCCAAGTACCTCGTATGGACAAAGAGAGGGCGCGGTATCCGCCACAAAGCATACCTCCTTCGGCTCCACCACCCCCGGAAAACCGGAAAGGTGGCTTCCGGATAACTCGTCGCCCGAAACGACACCCAAAGCTCCTCCGGGATTACCGGAGAGGGATCGGGAATCCCAGGCAATCCAGATTCCACGGCAAACAAAACTACGCACCGCTAAGAACCTCAACGGCATGGGATGGTCCCGGTATCCTTTCCCTACATAGGAAAACTAGCTTCGGCTGTAGGGAGAAAATCCAAGGACCAAAACGAGGGAAGGGCAAAAGGGAGGGTGTGGGGAGGAGGAGGAGAAAGGAAAAAATGGGGAGGATGGGGAGGATGGGATAGGAGGAGGGAGATTGGGGGGTTAATTAGGTTCGGTCTGAGGAAGAAGTACCGCTAGGTCTAATCTCTCTTCAGACCCCAAATATAAAAAGAGCCTCTTCACCTCACGCAAAGGAGCCCCCTTTGAAGAAGCCAACATGATTAGGTACCATGTTATAGGTACCAAATGATAAGTCACCACCCTTGGTATAGGTCCCAACATGTTATAGGTACCACAACATGTTATAGGTACCATCTTGTTTATAGTCACCAACATGTTATAGTCCAACCAACTGTTATAGGTACCAACATGTTATAGGATACAACATGTTATAGGTACCAATTGTTATAGTCACCAACATTGGTATAGGTACCAACATGTTATAGGTCCCATACATGTTATAGGTAAAACATGTTATAGTCACCAACATGTTATAGTCACCAACTGTGATAGTACCAACATGTTATAGTCACCAACATGGTATAGTCACCAACATGTTATAGTCACCAACATGTTATAGCACCAAACATGTTATAGGCACCAACAGGTTATAGGCACCCACATGTTATAGGCACCAACATGTATAGGCTACCAACCTGTTTAGGTACCAAATTTTATTGGTACCAAATGTTATAGGGTACCAACCTGTTATAGGTACCACCAGTATCCATGTCATAAGCATTATATAACTAGAAACCAGCCTACTTTTTAATCAAAGTTCATTAACACATTATTGAGTTTCAAATCTCAAAGGTGACAAACAAAACAGGTCAGTATATAATTAAACCAGAATTATGCATCAATACACTGCATATATACCATTGAACACCAGTTAGGCTAAGATGGTCACTAATACCATACCTACATATATCTCATGCAACCCCCAGTAGCTAAGCGGGCTGGGTCACCATTATATTACCAAACCATCTTCGACAATTCTCTAATTCTCACAAACCAACTTAAATTTGTTAAAATTTTTTTTTTAAATTTTTCTCTACGGTATATTACTAAAAATTCCAGCAACACAAAAGATCTTCAAAATATTTTTCTAGGACAAGTATAATTAAAAACTGATATGGAGTTTCCAGGTGCAGGCCTATACCATAATCTGAACAATGACAGGATCATCAGGACTTAGTTATGTTACAATTCAACTATGACCACCATGATTTTCAACGATTGTAACAGTTCAAAACTAATTGTTAATTATTTAATAATTTACCAGCAACGGTCACAGGCCTGTAAGCTTCAACATTAAAAATCTTCAATATCTTCAAGTATTTATCATGAAATACACAAAAAATGATTCCCTCTACAGATTTAGAGTGATGTGACATTTACTCACATGGATGGACATGAGCCATATGGACCCACAAAAGAAAACTTTAACCCGTAAACGGTCACGCCAGATCTACGTTCACATGTTTGTAGAGATGCTACAAAGTAGATCTACGTTTTTTTTTTTTACCTATTTCAAATATCCAAAAAAAAAAAAGTAGATCAAAGTTTTTTACTCATTTCAAATTGTAAAAAACAAAAAAAGCATGATCTACTTTTTTTTCATATTTTTCAACTGTGGAAAAAACGTATATATACGTTTGGACCGTTTAGGGTTAAAATAACAGAGGCTAAATCATACTCAAGAAATCGTAATGACACGATTGCAACCAACCATACCCGGCCGGGATTGAACCCTCGGTCATTGAGTCTCAAAACTCCACGATTTCTTGAGTCATGTTGACGGCAGTGAAGGGACTTGAGCTAGAGTTCGTCAGGGCCATGCTAGCTGGAGATTCGTCTGCAAAAACTTGCATTTGTGGTCACAGAGGTGCCTGTGCTAACCTTCCTATGGTGTAGAAATATACCTAGTTGGATGAATCTTATTGTGGCTAGCTGGTCTAGTGGCTAACGTGACGGGCTGGAGTTTTGAGACTATGACCGCGGGTTCAATCCCGGCCGGGGGTATGGTTAGACTAAATCATCTTAACTCGGCATCACAGCTGATATAAGGAAAGTTATAAGTAACAAAGCAAGACTTACACTTGCACTACAGGTGGCTCCCAACTTTTTGAAGAAGTTGTGGTACTGGTGTTCTAACTGGAACCTGTATTTGCAAGCAAGATTTACATTGTACTCAAGGTGGCTCCCAACTTATTAACAAGTTGTGGTATTGGTATTCTAACTGGAACCAGCATTTGTAAAAAAATTGTTGATTTGTGGTGTGGATATTAGTAACTGCATGTTCATAACTTGGGGACTCTCACACGATACCTTTGGCAGCTGATGCAAGAGTGGCTACTTCATGAGACACAGGCTAACAAAAAAACTCCAAAATTATAAGCAGAGACAATACAATCATCAGAGGCTTATCACTGGGAGTGGCATGGTTTATAGCACTTCACATCTTCATACACAAGTTCATTTGCATCAAAATATACAAATTACAATTATACAAGCACATTTTATAAATCATGAACATTTCTTGAGGCAATTAAGAAGCTTTATTACTTAATATCAATAGGTACTATGAGAGGTGTTGAGAGTTGCAACTACCACTCCTGACTGACTAGATCACATTATCCACACATGCACTGGCTAACGTTGTTAATACGTATTATAGTAAATCAGAAACTCCAGTCTATGTCTGCAAGCAACTGGCCATATAAACTCTAGAATGAGCTCTGATATGTCGTGAGACAGCGGCCAGAAGTATTAGCTGTAACAGGAGTGGGGTGACTGCAAGTGCACACTGGGCTGCAACTCAGTGCACACTGGGTTGCAACTCAGTGCACACTGGGCTGCAACTCAGTGTACACTGGGTTGCAACTCAGTGCACACTGGGCTGCAACTCAGTGTACACTGGGTTGCAACTCAGTGCACTCTGGGCTGCAACTCAGTGCACACTGGGCTGCAACTCAGTGCACACTGGGCTGCAACTCAGTGCACACTGGGCTGCAACTCAGTGCACACTGGGCTGTAACTCAGTGCACACTGGGCTGCAACTCAGTGCACACTGGGCTGTAACTCAGTGCACACTGGGCTGCAACTCAGTTCAATATTTTAAAAACCCATAAACATTTTCAATGGGATCGATGAAACTTTACAGCCACCATGCTAAAAATCTACCTTAGTAGTATTTGAAATTTAAACCCTTAACCAACCAAAATATGTAATTAAGTTAAACAGTGAACTTGAATAACTTTAAGAAAACATAAATAGTTGAACAAACTTTTAACTGAACAACATTTCGTTCTCTGAAGATCTTTTATTTCATATCAAAATACTGACCCAATCAAAACTGCTTCAGCAACTTGCGTATTTGTCTTCATATTTATCATCATTACCCTATTTCATCTAGCTTAATCAATTCTGATGATGCACATATAAGCAAAACCAGGGACTCCCCAACCTCTGGAGTCACACTGCTCTAACTTACAAATAAGTTGTAACCAAATGTTCCTACATAAAACAATAGTACAAAAATATGTTCATGTAAGTGCATATTGCATAAAGAACCAAAAGGTACAATACACAAGGAACAATACTCAAATAACCAGCACATAGGAGAGAGAAGCTTATGATGACATTTTGGTCTGACTTGTACCATTTACAAGTGACACTGTGACTTGGTCTAAGTCACACTGCCATATGATTGTCTCTTGTATATGCAGGTTATCTGTACATGTTGCAAATCAATGCTATTATATACTGACAAGTATGTTTAACAAGACACAGTATATGCTATGATGTAAATGGTTTAGAAAAGTAACAAGCTGAAGAATTAAGGCACATATGCAACATATTGTGAAAATATCCCACAATAAAGATTCCCAACTGTTGCAAAAGTCTAATTCTTCAGCAATATGTGGATGATGGTGTCTTATTGTAAAGATGTTTGGTCTACCAAGAGCTTTATCACTGTAGTGATAAGGTCCCTGCTACATGAACATTCTCAATAAAATGCGATAAACTGCACACTGAGTCTTATTATCTTGTAAATGCACAGTGGCAGTTGTAAAAATTGGTGAGTTGGTGAGCCCTGTATTAAAACTGACTGATGAAATAAAGCACCATATTAATAAAGCATCTCATGCTTGCCAACATCAACATTATCACAGATATGTAAACTGCAAATATTTAAAAATATTTTTCTATATTTTTTTACTACAACAGACAACATCGTAGTTTTTAAGCACTTTACAGAATAATTTAATAAAGATTTTATTAATGATAATTGTAAGAGCAGTGCAGTTGCCTCTGGCTAACTGCCATGCACTGGGAATCATCACAAGGAGAGAAGAGAGAATTACAGAGGGTTTTCACGGCAGGATGTCTGAAGTACAGCCTCTCCTCACTTAGCGACGCCTCAGACTTACAACGGACTCTGATCAGTATGCATGCCTAAATAATATTAGAGCTGATTTCCTCTATTCTTTTTATTACAATATACACTACTGTACAAATGTTTAAAAATATACCAGAAATGTTATAAATGGTGCAAAGATGATATTAAAACAATATCAAAGATGGTTGACACAAACCCACTACCATTATAGTGTGCTCCTCACTTTGTGACGAATTCGTTTACTGATGTAGTCTTAGGAATGGAACTTCATCGTTAAGTGAGGAGAGGCTGTATATGGTGTGTAGCCAGTGCCTCACAGTACTAGCGTTACTGCCTCCAGGTGTGACAAGTGAGATACACCTTTTCTTGACCTTGATCTCCTTGGACCATTAACTGCTGGGACTGTGAACCCACTTACAGCAAGACATGCACAGTACCTTATTATAGCATGCAGCAATTTTTTAATTCACAGCAATGTATGCATGTGTGGTGTGTACCCATTTTATGTTTCTTTCTATTCCCTTTTTGTATTATTGATTAGCTTTTTCATGGGATGACTGTGTAAGTGAACCATATATGAATGTAGAATGGAAATCTATTTTAAGTTATTTGTAACAATTACTTCATATTTTTATTTTTGAGCTGAAATTGAAGCCAATGTAGAAAATGTAACACTGTTTCATATTCTTTGAGCACAAAATGGAGACAAATGTTTAAAATACACTCGACCATTGATTAATACTATAGTTATGTTGCTATCACCTCCCACAACTACCACATACCTCTACCACAACCACAGTCACCTGCAAACACAAGCTATCCCTTTCCAAATTGAAAAAAATTATCAAAATACAAAAAACCCCTCAGGTTATCGCTGATGTTGTTGTTGGGTTTAAGAACTCTAATGACCCAAGGAGCTGTTTCCATCTCACTGCTGTGAAATTGACGACCATAATGCTTCTGTAACTATGCACTACTAAATACATATTTATAATTTTTTAAATAAAAAAAATAAAAAATAGTAACAAGGGATATGGAAACCTAAAGCAAAAACCTGTGAAAATAAACCAAATTTTCAGTTTTAAAAATATGAGTAAGAAGCATGAAGCTGAGGAGGAGGAAAAGTAGCGACGAGAATATGTAAACACTGCTGATACACTTCACACACATTATTTACCACAAATCTACTCCTACCTCCTGTCCCATAACATACTGAACCCTTGCCAGTTTGGGTTCAGGCCAAAAAAAAAAGTACAAATGATGCAATTATTCAGATGCTCAAATTACTATATACAACAACTGAAAAAATGAACATCCTCTAGGGCTCTTCATAGACCTACGGAAAGCATTTGATACAGTAGACCACAATATCTTGTACCTAAAACTAGAGCATTATGGCATCAGAGGACACTCTCAATTACCTAAAATCTTATCTTAGTGGTAGACACCCGTAAGCATACACAAATGGAATGACCTCCAATACTCAACCTATAGTTGTTGGAGTGCCACAGGGAAATGTCCTAGGTCCTCTACTCTTTCTTGTTTACATCAATGACCTCTCAAATGCATTGCAACTCCCTAAACCCTGTGGCCTGGCTGGCAAAGCTCTCGCTTCACACACGGAGGGCCTGGGTTTGATTCCCGGTAGGGTGGAAACATTTCGATGCATTTCCTTATACCTGTTGTCCTGTTCACCTAGCAGCAAATAGGTACCTGGGTGTTAGCTGACTGTTGTGGGTTGCATCCTGGGGGACAAGACTGAGGACTCCAATGGAAATAAGACAGATAGTCCTCGATGACACTCTGCCTTTCTTGGGTTATCCTGGGTGGCTAACCATTTGGGGTTAAAAATCCGAACGAAGTCTTATCTATTCGCAGATGACACCACTTACGTCTTCTCCCACCCAAACCTGGCTGTACTTAGTAACACTGTAAACAGCAAGCTACACAAAATATCAAACTGGATGACGACCAACAAACTTACACTCAATATACAGTAGACCATCATTTAACATGAGTTTATTTGGCATGATTTGGTTATAGCACGATTGAGGAATTGTGACACAATTTTATGTAACATGTCGAAAAATTAATTTAACACGGTTCGCGGAGGGGAAAAAATTTTGAGCGCGTGGTCACCTGCGGTGCGTTACGCCATTGAGTCAATGGGGGAGACCTACCACCATCCCCCCTGCCACCCACACCACGCTCCCAGCCTCCAGTCGGTACCTGACCAGCCGGGCTGTGGCTCGTACACTGGATTGCATGCAGCCAGCAGCAATAGCCTGGTTGATCAGGCCCTGATCCATCATGAGGCCTGGTGACAGACCGGGCCGTGAGGGCATTGACCCCTGGAACTCTCTCCAGGTAGACTTCAGGAACACCTGGAAGCTGCTGTGTACTGGGATAACACAAGTAGATAACATCACATCATGACCATACAATGCGCCTTTCCTCTTGTAAACAGTGAAAGTTGCATTCCTGTTTGAAAATTGGACTTGTAGAGAAATATGTGGAATGATTCCTTGAACTACTGAGGTAATGTGTTACCCACCACTGAGGGGAAGAGTGTTAGTTGTTGTTGCAAAAGAACATTTGTACTTTGCTGGAAAGCCAAATTACTAGGAGATTTAACACTTATCTCTGGGTGGGTTGTACCCAGATAAAGATATTTCATTCGGATTTTTAACCCCGGAGGGTTAGCCACCCAGGATAACCCAAAAAAGTTAGTGCATCATCGAGGACTGTCTGACTTATTTCCACTGGGGTCCTCAATCATGTCCCCCAGGATGCGACCCACACCAGTCGACTAACACCCAGGTACCTATTTGCTGCTAGGTGAACAGGACAACAGGTGTAAGGAAATGTGTCAAAATGTTTCTACCCTGCCGTGAATCGAACCCAGGCCCTCCGTGTGTGAAGCGAGAGTTTTGCCAGCCAGGCCACAGAGTACCAGTTAAGTACAACTTTAGCCACATTGTTTGCATACATATAACAGACATGTGTGGGGTTTGAACTGGTTGCAGATATCTCTGGCACATTCTTCAAAAGATTGAGTGAAAATGATCATTTAAGGAAGGACAACCATTCCACAGTGTTAATTCAGGTATATATAACAAATGACTGTCTGGAAATGCCAGTTGTATGTTAGGTGCAGCAAGTCTGAGAAACATCCTGAATGCAGATAGAGCATAAGTAGTCATGTATGACAGAGATGGTGATACCATGGTATGCATAAAATATAAATATGAGAGCAAACTTGTGTCAAGGTAGACTCATAGCTAAAACGAGAATCTAATAGTCCAAATCAGTAGGTGGATTTATTTATGCAAATGGAAGTAGAAGTTAGAAGTGGCAGACACATTGGACTGGACAGGATATAATAATTTCTTTGAGAACAACAAAATGGAGCAGTGGCTGGGGAAGCTCAGGTGTTTGCTCCACTACTCAGCTTCTTCAGGTAGGTCTGTATATCTTGTACATGTACTTGTAGAAATAAAGATTATTATTCTTATTATTATTTTTCTAACACGCTGACCGTCTCCCACCAAGGCCGGGGAACCCAAGAGAAAGTAAGAAAAACTTTCACCATCATTCAACACTTTCAATATCATTCACACATCATCAGTGTCTTTGCAGAAGTGCCCAGATATGACAGTTCAGATGTCACTCCAAACAGCAAATATCCCATCTCCCTCCAGGACTCAAGTCCAGCTAACTGGTTTTCTGAATCCCTTCACAAAATATTAACCTGCTCACACTTGGACATTGTTATTATTATTATCAACCAGGTTTCTTAGAATGGTCCAACAATGAGTCATTTAGTAACAAGGGATATGGAAACCTAAAGCAAAAACCTGTGAAAATAAACCAAATTTTGCCAAGAGCAATCAAAATTAAAGTATTTGCTTTAAATCACCCACCTGACTGCAACTCCACTGCCTGGAAAGCTGCATCTTTATTAAAACAGATGGAGGTGATCATTACACTGCCCTCAAGCACTAATCAGATATCCCACAGGTAAAGACATAAGAGAACCAGGAGCAACAATAATTGCAAAATGTCGATTACTACAGGTGAACAAGTTTCTCTTTAACAACTTCTTCCCTCAATAGCCTGAGGGCTGATGCCTCCGTCATTGCTCCCTTCAACTGACCAAGTCTCAACCACAACTAAAACGTCCAATCAAAGAAAATCACCTGTTAACTTCCTTGAGAGTTTTGATGAAGCTCTTCAAGACAACTCAGTTTTGGCTGAAAAGAAACAGAGTAGATGGAGTCTGAACCCATGACAAGTGAGTTCTAAAACTCCAGGCCACTTGCCATGGGTTCAAACCTTACCTGTTTCATGGTTTGTTTAGAATCGTGTTATTACAACTTTGCGAGTTAGCTTTGGCTCATTTCATCAGTGACCAGCAACTGAAAATAAAAAGCTTGAATAAAAAAATTGAAATTCTCCATGAAGCCTACAATGACTGCATGAAGCCTACAATGACTGTGTGAAGCCTACAATGACTGCATGAAGCCTACAATGACTGTGTGAAGCCTACAATGACTGCATGAAGCCTACAATGACTGTGTGAAGCCTACAATGACTGCATGAAGCCTACAATGACTGTGTGAAGCCTACAATGACTGCACTTAAAACCTTGACTAGCACAACTGATGAGCTAAGTAAAATCATCACATGCCAACAAACTATCCCAGACACACTGACTCACCACTGAAACAAATTAACCAGTCTAAGAGATGTCAGGGAAAACAAACTAGACATGAAAACAACAATCCCAAGTTAGTGGAAGTGAAACACACTGAAATGCAATGAAAAGATTAAAAAAAATATGTAGACTTTAAAACATATATGAAAACATGTTTATTGATCTACACAAAGAAGCAGATTAAAGGAAACAGCAACAACTAGTTGATAATGTTGTTATAAATAGCAAGGCAAGCACTGAAAAATAATAAACACAAATATAATTGGAAAGAAGTGTATTAGCAAGGCGTTGTAAAGCGAGCACCATGTTAATGAAGTGTGTCTGTATTATTCAGAGCAACTGCTTACTTTCTGCTGGACTCCAAGTATGTAGCACAAGTGTTGGCCAGATGTGCCAGCTCTTCCTGCTGGCAGCAATACTGCTCATCAGTCAGAGCATTACAGCAGTACTGCTTCATTATACATGAGAAGGATGTGGAGTGTCTCCACCTCTCATTATCTGCAAGAGATTAACACAGCTCTCCAATAAGGGTTCACAGGGTTTTTAATCTTCTTTACTGAAGTTGTTTCTGAAATATAAACTTATTGTCAAGATACTGAATCTAGAAATATTGAATTGTAAATACAACAGCTACTAGTGAAAAGTTACAGAATGATAGGTGGATGAATGTAACACAGGAGTAAATAGGTTAAAAACTTGGCCTGATACTCAGTGAATTTTGGCCATTTATAGTCTGACTTGTGCAATTTAAGTCCCCCTCTTGCCAAGACCCTCGCATTTACTTCTCTTACACCCATCTATAATATATTAAACAACACGGTGACATCACACATCCTTGTCTAAGGCCTACTTTTACTGGGAAAAAATTTCCCTCTTTCCTACATACTCTAACTTGAGCCTCACTATCCTCGTAAAAACTCTTCACTGCTTTCAGTAACCTACCTCCTACACCATACACTTGCAACATCTGCCACATTGCCCCCCTATCCACCCTGTCATACGCCTTTTCCAAATCCATAAATGCCACAAAGACCTCTTTAGCCTTATCTAAATACAGTGGACCCCCGCATAACGATGGCATCGCATAGCGATTTTTCCGCATAACGATTACTTTTATCGCAAAATTTTTGCCCCGCATACCGATTAAAAACCCGCATACCGATTTTCGTCCGAGACGCGTCCAATGTGCCCTCACATGTGCCGGCCGTCCCATTGTTTACCAGCCAGCCTCCGCGGTAACATCCAAGCATACACTCGGAATATTTCGTATTATTACAGTGTTTTCGGTGGTGTTTCTGGAAAATAAGTGACCATGGGCCCCAAGAAAGCTTCTAGTGCCAACCCTGTGGTAAAAAGGGTGAGAATTAGTATGGAAATTAAGAAAGATTTTGAAGGGTTTGGGGCTAACCCTGAATGCCTATGCCAGTTGTGGAATCCATTGTGCCTACTTCAAAGATTAAGGAAATGTGTGCAGAGTGGTTTGAACTGCAAACCTTTATAGATGAAAATCACCCTGACACAGCTGTTGCAAGCCGTGCTTGTGACTATTTCAATGACAATGTTATGGCCCATTTTAGGAAAGTCTTGAAGAAACGGGAGGTACAGAGCTCTATGGACAGATTTGTTGTGCGACAGAGGTCCAGTGACTCTGAAGCTGGTCCTAGTGGCATTAAAAGAAGAAGGGAAGTAACCCCAGAAAAGGACTTGCTACCTCAAGTCCTAATGGAAGGGGATTCCCCTTCTAAACAGTAAGAAGATAATGCTCTCCCCTCCTCCCATCCCATCAATCATCACCAGATCTTCAATAAAAGTAAGTGTCATGTAATTGTGCATGCCTTTTTCAGTTTGTGTGTATTAAAATTAACATTTCATGTGGTAAAAAAAATTTTTTTTCATACTTTTGGGCGTCTTGCACGGATTAATTTTATTTCCATTATTTCTTATGGGGAAAATTAATTCGCATAACGATTATTTCGCATAACGATGAGCCCTCTTGCACGGATTAAAATCGTTAACCGGGGGTCCACTGTACTGTTCACTTATATGTTTCACTGTAAACACCTGGTCCACACACCCCCTACCTTTCCTAAAGCCTCCTTGTTCATCTGCTATCCTATTCTCCGTCTTACTCTTAATTCTTTCAATTATAACTCTACCATACACTTTACCAGGTACACTCAACAGACTTATCCCCCTATAATTTTTGCACTCTCTTTTATCCCCTTTGCCTTTATACAAAGGAACTATGCATGCTCTCTGCCAATCCCTAGGTACCTTACCCTCTTCCATACATTTATTAAATAATTGCACCAACCACTCCAAAACTATATCCCCACCTGCTTTTAACATTTCTATCTTTATCCCATCAATCCCGGCTGCCTTACCCCCTTTCATTTTACCTACTGCCTCACGAACTTCCCCCACACTCACAACTGGCTCTTCCTCACTCCTACAAGATGTTATTCCTCCTTGCCCTATACACGAAATCACAGCTTCCCTATCTTCATCAACATTTAACAATTCCTCAAAATATTCCTTCCATCTTCCCAATACCTCTAACTCTCCATTTAATAACTCTCCTCTCCTATTTTTAAATGACAAATCCATTTGTTCTCTAGGCTTTCTTAACTTGTTAATCTCACTCCAAAACTTTTTCTTATTTTCAACAAAATTTGTTGATAACATCTCACCCACTCTCTCATTTGCTCTCTTTTTACATTGCTTCACCACTCTCTTAACTTCTCTCTTTTTCTCCATATACTCTTCCCTCCTTGCATCACTTCTACTTTGTAAAAACTTCTCATATGCTAACTTTTTCTCCCTTACTACTCTCTTTACATCATCATTCCACCAATCGCTCCTCTTCCCTCCTGCACCCACTTTCCTGTAACCACAAACTTCTGCTGAACACTCTAACACTACATTTTTAAACCTACCCCATACCTCTTCGACCCCATTGCCTATTCTCTCATTAGCCCATCTATCCTCCAATAGCTGTTTATATCTTACCCTAACTGCCTCCTCTTTTAGTTTATAAACCTTCACCTCTCTCTCTTCCCTGATGCTTCTATTCTCCTTGTATCCCATCTACCTTTTCTCTCAGTGTAGCTACAACTAGAAAGTGATCTGATATATCTGTGGCCCCTCTATAAACATGTACATCCTGAAGTCTACTCAACAGTCTTTTATTCTACCAATACATAATCCAACAAACTACTGTCATTTCGCCCTACATCATATCGTGTATACTTATTTATCCTCTTTTCTTAAAATATGTATTACCTATAACTAAACCCCTTTCTATACAAAGTTCAATCAAAGGGCTCCCATTATCATTTACACCTGGCACCCCCAAACTTACCTACCACACCCTCTCTAAAAGTTTCTCCTACTTTAGCATTCAAGTCCCCTACCACAATTACTCTCTCACTTGGTTCAAAGGCTCCTATACATTCACTTAACATCTCCCAAAATCTCTCTCTCTCCTCTGCATTCCTCTCTTCTCCAGGTGCATACACGCTTATTATGACCCACTTCTCGCATCCAACCTTTACTTTAATCCACATAATTCTTGAATTTACACATTCATATTCTCTTTTCTCCTTAAAAATGTATTTCCTTTATTTTCCCCCCTCCTTTCTTAAATCTTCAAACTCCATTAATCCATTTATTTCCCCACAAACTTCTCCTACCCTCAGCTGTTCGTTTGGGGCCAGGCTCAACTCTTTTCTCTAAATTCAAATTTACATCATTTATTTTCCCTAAATTTTTTCTCAGGGCCTCCCCAACCGGGAACCAAGAAATTTTAGAAATTTTTACCTCATTAACACTTTCTTATTCACCATCATATTTTTTTTCAATCCACCGATATATTCCAACCACCCCCGCCAATTCCCCCATCTCTCCAGATCAAGTCCAAAAAATTTGAATCCCCTTCACATATTTTAACCGCTCCCACTTGCATTTATTATTATTTAAACCAGGTTTTCTTAATTCCAAAAATGAGTTTTTTAAAAAGGGGTAGGGAACAAAGAAAAACCCCTTAAAATAACCAAATTTGCCAACAATAAAAATTTAAAAGATTGCTTTAAACCCCACTTCTGCAATCCATACTGAAAGCTGCATTCATTAAACAATAGGGATCTTTACCGCCTCAAGCCATAATCAATATCCCACAAAGACCTCAAGGGAAAAAAATTTTTAAAAGGGGTTTTAGAAAACAGGTTCCAAAAACTTCTTCCTCAATACGGGGGTTGGCCCTCTTGCTCCTTAATACCAAATTTCAACCAACAAATAAAAGTCCATTCAAATAACACCTGTTAACTTCCTTATTTTTGGGAATGCTCTTAAAAACTTGTTGGGCCTTAAAGCCAGTAGTAGTTACCCATAAGATTTTTAAAAACTCAGGCCATTCCCGGTCAAACCAACCTGTTTCATTTTTTTTAAATCTTTATTACACTTGGTTTTTTTGGTCTTTCATATGCCGCAACTAAATAAAAAGCTTAATAAAATTTTAATCCTTCCTGAATAAATGACGCTAAACCACAAGATTTTAAAAACCTAAAGGGATCTGAACCTCAATGACTTGTAAACCTAAAATTCCTGCATGAAGCTACAAAATTTTTAAGCTTGACTGCTTAACTAAAATACTGTGTGAAAAGCCTTTTTTCCATAAAACTTGCTGAAACAGCTAATTAAAATATTCCATCCAACAAACTCTCCAAACGGGTAAACCTAAAAATTTAACCTCAAAGATTCAGGAAACAAATAACATGAAACCACAATCCGTTAGTGAATACAAACTGAACAAGGGTTTAAAAAAATTTGACTTTAAAAACTCTATGAAAAAGTTAATCTACACAAAAACTTTAAAACGCCCCAAATTGGAAATGTTTCTAAATAGCAAGGCAACACTGAATTTTAAAACCCACAATTAATTGAAGAAGTGTAACAACTGAGCCAATTAAATTTCGAAATTTTAACGGGAAAAATACTTTCTGCTGACTAAGTAATGTAGAAAGGCCAAATGTTTTCTTGCAGCAAACTCAATCATAACCATAAAAGTACTGTTATTTACATGAAGGTGTAAGTGTTCCCCTTCATTAGGGAAATTAACAAGCTCCCAAAAATTTGAGGTTCCAATCTACTTTACAAGTTTTCGAAAAAAACTTATAATTAATCTAAATACTTATTGTAAATACAACAGTACTGGGGTTTAAAAGGGTACAGAATGATGGAGTTTTAAACCAATAATTGTTAAAAACCTTGGCCTATACTTGATTTCATTTTCTAAATGTGCATTTAAAAGCTTTTAATTTGATAATTGCTTTTAATTTCCACATTAATTTTTTTTATCAAATGCAAAAATGTAACCAAACCCAAAATAAAAAACCCATACCACCAATTTTAATTTTAATACCTTATCCCCAAATTTAATTTGCCCCTGGTTAGAAATTTCCAACAAAAATGTTTTTTATGGCTGCAATGTTACCTTAATTTTGGGCCCATCTATGAGCCTTCTCTGGCTTACTGCCCCCCTTTAAAATTTTGATAAAATTTCATCTT